TCCTTTTTGCAGAAGGACTGCCCCTATTCCCTTTATTGAAGCGTCGGTATTTGTAGGGTGCATCCTATGTCGGAGTTGTAATGTTGTAATAGAGGTGCTGACGTTAGTTTTTCTTTCAAGATGTTAAATGTCTCTTCTTGATCTGGCCCCCATTTGAAATTATTTTTTCTTGTAACTTCATGCGAAGGCGATCGAGAAGAAATCTCTTTAGCTTTTCTTCATTTGGTTTTATTCCGCTTCTATTTACTGTGAATCCCAACATTTTTATTTCTTCTTGGAGATATATGTACACTTATTGGGTTTTAGGGTAAGGTTTGCTTCGTTTAGTCTCTGGAATACTTTTCTTAATTTTAGTATGTATTGCTCTTCCGTTTTTGAGAAAATGATAATGTCATCCATATACACTAATACTTCCTTCCATTTTAAATCCCAAAAGACCATATCCGAGAGTTCTTTAAACACAGACGGAGCATTACATAATCCGAATGGGAGGACGTTACATTTGCTAATAGTTTTATCTCGCTCTATTCCATTGCAACTATGTATTTCCATATCGTTTTTTCCTCCCCTTCACTTCAGACCGAAACGCTCTTTCCACAGTTGCCAACCTTTACTCTAACAAACAGTTTGAATATTTTGTTGTGTACTATTTAAACTTACAATACAATAGTATATTGTTGTATTAGGAGTAGAAGCTTTACTTTTTTGTGCTGAAGCAGTAGGTTTGCGAGCCGAAAGTAGTGAGGCTTGCAATACTGCTGAAGCACAAAAAAGTGCTTCTACTCCGTATGCAACACGCTATTTTTTCTCCAAACGAATGGGGTAAGCTCGGGGGCAAGTGAATAGTTGAGCGGCAGTAAAAGTACGAGCGGCACTAAAAGTACTTTTGCTGCCGCTCCAGCGGCACTAAAAGTACTTCTACTGCCGCTGCGGTTGCCTAGTAGCATAGAAATTAAATTTCTACCACCTCGACAGGCGTTAACCAGCTGGATTTGCCTACCAGCATAGAAATTAAATTTCTAACATCTTGACAGGTGCTGACAAAGTGACGTTTTTTTGACGTTTGGAAAAAAACATTATTATTTCCTTTCCGTTTATTTTCATGGTATGTTTACACTACATGAATATATCATGATGTACGTATCAATACACTGGCTTCTTCAGTAACATATATTATAATATAAGTAACGTTCTACCACTTGCCCCTACCATTAGAAGTCCCAAAAATACCGTAGAAAGACCCAAAAATTTCGGGCAGCATAACCCTGTCTGTCTAATTAATTCTACTTACGTTAATTTTCGGAGCCAGAGCACCCATAGTAATTTTCAAAATTCCGGCGCCCATGATCCTCTGGTTTTCATATGCCTGTTCACCCCCCAAGAGCTGTAGCGAATTTTAATTTTTTCCCGTTACTTCCTGTATCCTATTGTCGATTTCTTGTTGGGTTATTGTAGATAAACTTTGCCTGAATATATGGTGTTTCGTTCTTGATTACTTTTGTTTGACTTAGTCTTAATCTCCTTTGTCCCTTTAACTTTATAGTGTTTCAGTTCAGATCTGCATAGAGTAGCTTGGTTTGCTTTCAGAAAATCCATTCCTAGAATAATCGGGTACGGCACTCCATTGATTGCATTCATTTTGCATGTGTAAATTATTCCTGATCTGTATTGATGCCATTACTTCTCCTAGAACGGGTATTTTATGTCCCCCTGCTGTAACTAGTATTACATTGGAGCTTTCTTTTCTTATCAAGTCCGCATTTATTATATTATTTTGAGAACCGGTGTCTATTATTGCCATCTGACTGGAGTTGTTTATCTTTATGTTGCGGAATGAAATGCCCGTATTCGTTCGCCCTTCTGTTAATTGCGCCATCCTTGTGTATTTGAGTGTCTTTGTCTACAAGTGGCCGTAAAATGGCCGTATTTCCCGCAGTTGTAACATTTCTGGCTGTTTTTGGAATTTCTCGGAGGTTGACTGTTTTGTCTTAATTGACCTGTGTTATCTTGGTTTCTTTGGTAGGAGTTGCTATTTGCCAGGTTATTTGGCTTATTACTTCGTGAAAAATTGTTTTGCGTTTCCCCTCTATTCTGCCAGCTTCTTGAGTTGTTCGTATTTTGATTGCCGTACCTATTATTTTGTTGCATTGAGTAGTTAAACAAAGCGGGCTCTGCAACATAACGTTATCGTAGTGGTAATAGCGTTAGCGTTAGCGTACGTTAAGTGTGCCATCTGAGTGTGGGCTTGGGTGGTAGGTATTTTAGGTGCCCCGTTACTACTGACAGACGGACTATCAGCTTTGGCTACTAGCTGTCAGATAGTGACACATGAAGCCGCCATTGACACCTGTACTACCTACCACCCAAGCCCACACTCAGATGGCACACTTAACGTACGCTTACGCTAATGCTAACGCTATTAAAGTCCAACAAATACCATTTTAAAGTCACGGGATTTTTCTCTATCCTTGTTGAATACATCTCAAACAGCGGTGATAGTAAAATTGACAAAAAAATTGCTGTCTAATTATTGTTCATAATATTCTTACCTGAAATAGAATCCGTCACTGTCATCAATTAGTTTGTCAAAGTTATTTTCGAAAATAATACAACGAACAAACACAGCTAATAATTTTGACTATATTAACCTTTTTCCAACTCGAAAAGAAGCAAATAGAAAACGGGTACCCAGTTTAAGTTCAGAATGTATTACAACAGACAGCAGATGCGACAAAAGTGATGGCCGTTTCCACCATCGCAAATTTAAGTTTACTTAACGTTAAGTGCCGCTTAAATTGTAATTTTTTTTCCACCAGTCTAACCTAGTCTCATTAAGATAAGCTTAACTAAGCCCAGAAATTTCTAGGCTTATTCCTCCCTTAACAAAGTGGCGATGATAAGGGCAAGCCATTTGTATAATATGTTTTTGTTGACATAACAAACGTTGAAATTGAATTGAGATAAAATTAGAATTTTCTCAATTTTCTAATTTCTGCGTTTTTCTTTTTTTTTCTCCCAAAGCCTATTTTTTTCGGCTAGAGATACTCCGTGTTTTTTTATTTTCGATTCGATTTTTCTTATTTTTTGATGTTAGCGATATTAGCAGCACTTTTTCCTTTATTGTATAGTTTGGTGTCCGGCTTTTTTTGAATAAACTCTCCCTGTTTGTTTCTATTCCCCGACTCCACGCTGCTCTAGGCACCTTCGTTTTCGTTCACACACAATGCAGGATAAACTACCAATATCTAAACTATGAATAAACCGAACCCGGACAACAACAACAACTATCAATAATATTATTAGTAATTATATTATTATAATCTTACAAAAAAATGGCGAGAAGCGTCGAATGACAGATAACATTGACACGACTAGTGTAAAAACGAAAACTACGCAAATTTTTCACCTGAAATGCAATGTTGTCAAAGCTGTACGACACTTAGCTAAGCTTGCACTTAAAAACTATGGTGGAACGAAATTATATTTGAGTGTCCCTTAACTTTTAAGGGCTTCATAGTTAAGCAAAGCTTTGTTATAGTTTGGTGGAAATGGCCATGAGGCTCGCAACAATTGCAAGTAATAAAATTGTCCTCTGATTGGTCAATACTACTTCAGAAACGCGTTTGTAAAATGCTAGTGGGAACATATATTAAAATTCAATAGTAATTAACCACCAGTAGCTTTTTGTAGGTGATATCAACGACATAATCAATGGACATACGTTTTTTGCCACCAGTATCACGTGACTTTAAAATGGTATTTGTCGGACTATACCATTTCGATAACGTTATGTGGCAGAACCCGCTTTGTTTAACTACTGCCTTGTTCCATATCCGTTATTGTACTGAGCTGAAGAGTAATTCGTACTCCTAGACCAATTATCTTATCTATACCCCGGGTTGAAGGGTCCTCTTGGGTTAAACTTATTTCTCTTCCTTGAATCGTTGTAGGTGTTTTAAACGGAAGAGCTGGATTTTTGAGCCGCGATTTTCTTCAACTCGTCTATTGTTGCGGGAGGTTTATTTGGTGTATTCGTGAGCCAGTAATAATTATAGTAATTATTCTCTGTCATGCCTTTGCTGAAGGTATCTAAAAATTCCTCCATATTCATCACTTTATTGTATTCTGCGTAGAGTACTCTTAATTCATATAGATAGTTGACCACACTTTCTTCTTCCTTTTGTTTTCTATCTTCAAATTTTTTCCTCAGTTTTCCTTGATAGTCGATGTCTTCAAATTCTATTTTGAAGTCTCTGGTGATGTCCTCTCAGACGTTGTTTTTGTGTGCATCTTTGTACTCTTGGAACCATGAGTTTAATGCTCCATTTACAAATGTTTCGAAATATGCTATTTCCAGCGTTGCATCCCATCCATTTGCAATTGCTGTTCTCTCATAAAGTCATTAGCGTTAACTCTGCATGGGTGAAAAGTTATAGGGCTTATAAATTAAGGGATCGTCGCCTTTCTACCAGTGGCGGTTGCGTCTTGGATTGTAATATTCGCCATGGCTGCTTGTATTTTCCGGTTTGGTGTTTCTCTGTCTGGTGATTTTTTGTTGGGCGAACTTGCGTCTTCGTCTTTGTTTTTCGGGGCAACCTGGTTTGCTTCTACCACAATTTCTTCTAGATTATCCTCAGTGTTCTTCACTTACATATTTTGAGTAGTTACTTATTTCCATAGGTCTAGATTTGGGGCGTTGAGTAGGGCTTCTACAGCATGACATTCACCTTAGGATCTCAGTCATACTGTAGCAAGTCACACCCAACTTGGAGAGAAAGTCTTTAGGCCTGTACCCTCGACAAGCTTAAGGCTGTGGAGACTTACTTGCCTGACTGCATTGCAGTGCGCGTAATTAATACAAGAATTATCGCTCAGAGAGTCAGTTAATTTTCTGTAGTACAAGCGCCAAAATTTTATTTTCATAGTCTGTAGGCTTGACATTTTGAGTTGACAATAACTTAAAATGGTTGAGCATATAGAATTTAGTAACTCTTTTCCAGTATATAAAGAGATTAGGATATTGCCCACAAGAAAACGCACTGAATCTTGCGCTAACTGGAAGAGACTTATTAAAAACTATGGCCATGTTACGAGGAATCAAGGACGACAAGATAGTTGACCAATTTTTGGATATGTTCGGTAACTGAGCAAATTTCAAGCCAAACCTAACATGAAATAAAAACTCTATTTTAGGCCTAAAAAGTATAGCAAACATTAAGTGTGCTCATTATAGTGGTGGAAACAAGCGAAGACTGACTTTTGCGATGGGCGTGATGGGTTTTCCGGATTTTATTTTACTGGACGAACCGACCACCGGCGTCGATCCCTTATCTCAGCATAAATCTTGGTCTCTTATCAAACAAATTAGAGACACAAATCAAAACTCGTTTATTTTGACTTCCCACAGTTTGAACGAATGCGAAGCCGTATGCGATGAGTAAAGAATCAGTTCCAATAATAATTATCTTATTAATTGTTTTTAATATAGCTTAAAAATATTGAAAGAAGGCGTTATAAAGAAGGAAGGGCCGATAGCTCTACTAAAAACCGAAGTGTGCGGTTTCAACGTTATGCTGAAACTGGACAAAGATAAGGTGGCCAAAAAGCAAGGAAACTTTCTTAAAACTGTTCCAGAGCTCAAAAATTATCTTAAGCAAAAATTTCCAACAGCGGTTATTAGAGACGAACATTCAGTAAGTAGTATTTACATCAAGGTATTTGGACAAGCACATTAAAATATTTATCTATTATTATAGGGCTTGATTCATTACTACATAAAAACCAAACAAATAAAATGGGCTCAACTGTTTACAACATTCGATGATTTGAAACAAAGATGTGAACTGATCGATGACTATAATATTAGCGAGGCTTCGTTGGAAGATGTATTTTTGACAGTAGCCAGGGCTGATGATAATGTGGATACAGAGGAAGAAGAAAACGGTAGGTAGTGGAGTGGATCTAAATTTGATTACTTCATCTATGATAAAATATGTGTTTGAGGAGAATATTTTTAAGATTGACGATTCTACTATGGAGGAAGAAAGTACCTACAGAAAGTAAATACTCTTCAAATTAAAATTTCGCAGTAAGGTGTGATACATATTACTACGTTTAATTATGTTTTGAATTATAGCGTTTACCTTTTTAGGTTTGCCCAGGCATTAAATTCTAGAACAGTCAAGTATCATATAGGTAGAAGTACATGTACAGATTATTTCGCCATAATATAGCGTTACTTTTACAAGTAGAAAAAAAGTGTAGACTTCAAGATTATTTATAGACTTCTTTAGTGGTTTCTATAAGACTCTATTACCATGCGCATGCACCTATTAATAAAGTATCTGCTAAATTTTCAGTAGCATATTTGAATATTTTTAGCGCTGCCGTTTTGTTACTAAACATGTATCCCAAAAATTTTGAAAATCTGTTCAAACTTGTTCGCCCTGCCTTAAATTTCAAATGTTTTTTTCCGTATCTCAGTGTTTGTTAAGTGAAATATTCGTTTGTAAAATTGGTCTTGTATCTCAATATTTGTAAATCCGTTTCAAAATTATAATTCAAAGTTGTATGCTCTTCTTCGAACGGTTTCTCAAAAGCAGGTCACCCCCGGTTTAAGCATAACTTTAGGGTAAACATAGCAAATGGACACGCTTACCCTGGAGTTAAAAACTTCATTGCCCGAAGGTGACCCGCTATTGAGAAACCGGCCCTAAAGGTTTCTAAAGTATGTTATTGGCATGTCAGAATCTTTTTAGTCTGTTCATGAAGTCTATAAACTTTTTCGAGTGCGTGATCTGAGTGGACGCTGAGTGGTCAAAATAAGGGAATCGACTTGGTCGAATAGCGCTCAATTTGAATGATTTATCCCAGGCCTTAGTGAGTCCTGTTACAAATAATATTGTTTATTTGCACTTTACTCACTTTAGGACAAAAGAAACTATAGGGTCGTGGAATTCAAAAAAATAAGATAACGTATAGCCCCTTTATGTGCAAATGAAACCACTCAAAATCCAACAAACAATAATTTTATTTGATTTGTTTACAATATAGTAACGATGTTACTTTCTTGAAAATTCGACAGTTGACAGCTTGGTTGTTGTAAATCTGATACATGTACCTTTCCAATCCGGAGCTCTTCAATAGATGTTGGGGTCAGTGGCGTAGTGACGATGCTCCGCCCGTGTTCAAAAATTTTACCGGGCCCCTCTAACTTCTCTCGAATAACCTTGAGCAAAACAAAGCGCAATGCAGGGATTGCAGGATCTTGAGTTGGCATACTTGGCAATCCTGGCACATTATGGAGTGATTCCACTTCTGGAGTGGTTTTAACTCCTGGGTAAACGTGTCCAGTTGCAATGTTTGCTATTGAGAAACAGGCCCCCAATAAACATTTTTGTTTTTATAATATTTACCGTAAATGTTATATCACCTTCTTTATGTAACTTAAGGTTTTATATCCATTTACCGAAATATTTCTGTTACTCCTATAAACCCTTTAAAGAGCTTAAATTGAGCGTTTATAAAGGTTTCGAAAACCTGTGTTTAGTAACGGTACATAACTTTAATTTATGTAACCATTGGTAATGGGAATATTGTGGTAACCACTATATAACTTTTGTCAATTCTGTCATCATTATAAATACATATTTTTTCTCTCTCAAATACATTGCTTTAAATGGTCTCCTACTATTCTATTCCCACAATTCTATTTCAAGATGTCTGTTACTAAATAAAAACAAATTTGGAGTCCAAATATTAATACCTAGGTATTAGAAAACGATGGTACTTTGTTATAATTTTACAGTATTGGTAGACTCAAAATATAGTTGGGAAACTTTTTCTACTGCAAAAGTAGATCCGGTTCCTCGAAAAAACGCAGGGGCCCTTGAAATATTCACTTTTTATTAATTTCAAATCAGTTTTCTCACAGAATATACACATATAAATATTAATTGAAATGAGATTTAAGAAGAAATTAATGTCATTTCCGTTTTGCATATGCATATTGTATATTTTGCATCAAAATCAGCTAAACCTAGTGTTTTTGCTACGCATCTTTTTTATTATTATGATTTTGGGTAGAAAAATATGGCGGATCACTTTAGTAACAATATAAACTCTGGAAACTATAATATCACCTAAGGTTATATTTTATAACTATTAGTAACATTATATAGGTACTTAACTTTTAACCAGATGCCGTCAGCGCCGGTATTGGCAATTTTGGTTTCAAAATAGTGTTATTGCTATAATCATCCATGTTTATCAGTTCCCTCAAGTAATTTATTTTCTTGTTTAGGAACTTGTGTATAAGTGTCCACGTGGAAGATACTGAGGGCACTGAATTTGAGATTTTATTTAAGTTTTTTGAAATTTTTTGGCGAAATGATGTGCTGAACTTCATTTTTTTTAAAAGCATTATGCACAGATTTCTTATAACAATAATAAACAGCAACAGACACCTCATTATTCTCATATGTCAAATTAGGTAGTTTCGTTTTACTAAAGGTTTTATAAAAGAAATTATCGTTACCAAAAGTTTTATAACATATACTGCAAACACTACTAGTTTCCAGGTTTTATAAAGGTGATTGACAACACTTCTATAGGTATAACTAGGGGTATTCTAGTTATATAAATGAGGTTACGGTAACCTTTATAAAAATTTCTTATAAATACTTTAGTAACGTTTACTAAAAGTTTTATAAAATGGTGATGGAAATAGTAATATCACATTATATACCTGTAAGTTATAGTAAGCTTATAAATGCTTTATAAAACTATGTTACCATAGGTTGCAGATTATAAAACTTGGAAACCTTCTTATATACCTTTGTTACTACTATATACCCATTACATAACTTGACGTTACTATAAGTTGCGAAACATGTTTATTGGGGGCCCTTTGGCGGCGGTATGATACTTTGACAAGAATAGAGATTGGTTTGAAAGACGCGTCACGTAACTTAACGTTTTGGCAAATTTTGTTACACGATAGACAAGAGAGAAGAAAGATATGATATAATGTAGAGAGACAGAGAAAGATAGCCAATGACCGCCAATGACAATGATAGCCGACGAACGATTGACACAAACCAAGGATCATAAGCAAAGAGGATTGCCTATTATTGTCAAGCACCGATACCTCTGAGACATCACTGGAAGATGCGCGTCTCCCTTTTGTGCGGCCCTTCGTCTTTACCCGATCAGTGGTTTACCCTGACTCATACTCTTAATTCTAAACGTTGTATGAGGAAGGAGGAAGGTATAATTTTTAAGAAGTTTCACTTCTTAACACGTGTACGATGCTACACATGATTTTCATTTTTATATAAATTAGCTTCAAATGTATTTTTTTTTTTACTTGATAGGAGAAAAAATAATATTGACATGTGAAACCGGGCCCCTTGAGCTACCGGGCCCGTGTTCCGGGGAACACGCGGAACACCGGTGACTACGCCCCTGTGGTGTAAGACTGAAAAAACAGCAAATGCTTGTCATAACTTGTCCTGAAAATATAAATCTGTCAGCACGAGCCGATTTTGAGATATGATTTTTTTTTTGATATGTTCTCCCCTTTATTGATACCCTCTGACGGTCTATCGGGATCCGTTGTTAGGGTAAAAAAATAGCAAATGCTTGTCGTAATTTGTCCTGAAAATATGAATCTGTCAGCACGAGAAAATTTTGAGACATGATTTTTTTGATATCTTCACCACTATTTTGACACCCTCTGACGGCCTATCGGAATCTGGTGTAAGGGTGAAAAAATAGCAAATACTTGTCACAATTTGTCCTGAAAATATGAATCTATCAGTACGAGCAGATTTTAGGATATGATATTTCCTAATATTTCCGACGCCACTAGCCCTTCGGCAGTTTCCGGAAGTTTTGGAGGCTATCTTGAGAAGCTAATTTCACACCGGTTGATTGAAGAATATTTTTCTGCGATTGACAAGAAATGTCAGCATTTTTGACCGGTTGATAGGTCGCAAAACTCAATATTCTGGTATTTCAATTATGTTCAATAGTTGCTAAGGCATCAATAAATAACAATACGGGAAACACTTTTCCGGCCTAGGCCGGGAAATTGATTCTCGTATTGCCGAATAATTGGAACTAAAGGCCAAACATTTAACGTATTTAACCGATCGCAGAAAGAATAATGTGTTTGCCTAGATATTGTGCACTAACAGCCCCACTATTATTGTTTTTACCTATGTCAAGATTTGGTTGAGTGGTATGCCTTATTTTTTTTGGCATTCCAAAATTATCAATTATCGTTTGCTAGTTAATTTTGTTAGGTGTTTATTCAGTGGCGCTCTTGCCATTCTGTACTCAATAAACTCTTGATCCACCCCTAATAAATATTCGCTGAGCATAGTATGGGTCTCCTGTTAATTTGTTAACAAAAGGGGTTACACACTCTACCATATACAGAGTGGACAAATCAAATTTAATTTTCTGTTAATGGAACACCCTTTATTTTAATTAACTTTTATATAGCCCTTTGAAAGAAAAATCCAACAATTTACCTACTGGACATGACGTGTTTGTCTCTTACACCCATGCAAGAATTGCAACATTAGTGATTAAATTGATTTTATTTAGTAAATTGGAATGTCAACATTTATTCAAAAATGAAACCATTCGTGTAATTCTTTCAATGATGATCAGAAAAATATAAATATGATATTAGAAATCTCCTTTATTAGAAAATCAAAAATATAATCCTTGCCACAATCAAAAATACATTGGAATATGGAAGTATACCGAATCCAGTAGCAGGTTCAGTATTTGATGTGATTGCGTTTTTATTTTCCATGAAATCCACGACAAAATCGAACATCGATTCCATTGGAACATAATCAACTGATTTTTGACTTCCGCTTGCCCTTGACCTATTCTGACAAGTATTTTTGCCAGTCAGGATTCCCACTTGAAGGTCGCCGCATAAGATCGGCCCGTCCCATGGCGCACCGCAATTGGAAAAGTCGCCTCCATTTCCTTTCTGATCGACGAAACATTTCAATTCCAATGGTGTTCCTTTGCTATCTGTAAAAATAACATCAGTTTGGTTAGTTGCTGCCCCAAAATCGAAAGTAGTGAAGCCTTTGCAATGCGGTTTTCTTCCTCGCTTGTTCTGTGACCAAGGCCAATCCGATGGCCATGATGAGACACGTGCTCGGTGTCTAGGCACAGGCAGCTTCACCAATTTAATGTTTGGCATTACAGAAAAGATGCTTTCTTCTAGCCTAAACACAAATACAAGTTTGGCTTTATTTGGTGGTCCGTTTTTTGATCTCGCTAATAATTTCCCATTGATTACTTCCTCGACACCGGCAATACGGATACTTCGTCTGTTTTTTTGTGAAAATATTTCATGTTTTTCATCATGATAATTGGTATCTTTCACCACGGTGTCTTTCACGTCATTGTAGACATTGGTATCCTCAACATGTTCATTAACACTAACAACATCATGTGATTCTTTAATAATGGAAACATGATATTGATTGATAACTGATGATGATGGCGGTTGTGCGGGAGCCGGTTGTTGGGGATACACAATAATTATTGAAGGGTTTTCTACACATTCCTCTACGTGTTCATTAAGTTTATCGATTAATTCCTTGAGCTTGAGCCTAGGACCCATTCCTGTACCATAAAACTCAGAAAATAAAGTACCTCTTCCAAAAATTGTTGGTTTCATTCTATCTCTGGGACTTTCCGCCACTATCACTACATACTCATCAGAACAAGGCTTTGCTTCTTTTGACTGGCCTTTCGAGCTAAATACAGATATAATTAGTAGAAAAAAAAATTGCCAGAAAACGACACGCATTTTTAAATACTGACTGTCTTGCCAAACAATGACAAAACAAACTGATATGGAAAATTTACGTATCGGCTTGCTGGTACCAAAAATCTAGAAGGTAAGCAAATGAGAAAAAATGCATCCATTTCCACGATGGAGAACAATAATAGCAGAGCACCACAACCACATTGGTTCTTACATTAACAACGCAGTATTAAGACCTAAAACCTAAAACTATGTATTAGGAGAATTATTCTTCTGCAACTTGACACTGGAAAATCGTGTGGTAGAAAAGTGACACATTCTCGGCCAACGGTGTAAGTAGCCGAGGCCGGCAATCACCTAAATACACAATATACTATTTTGCGATATCGTATAAATTCCAATTAAATGTTGGTTGGACACCTATCTTGATGGATGATGTTCTGTACGTAGGAGGGCCCTCCAGAATCCAGTTGGTTACAGTAAGCACAAAGAAGTACCGTGAAGTCACGATCGAAAGCTGAGGAAGGAATTTGCGATAAAAGTGAATTTTGGGTACTTATTTTCTTTCTTGCGCAAATTAACCGTATCTACTGGTCGCTAGCTAATATCGATTCGTTCTCATTTTTCGGGTTCTAATGGTATATGAGTACCTCATTGCATCCTCTTCGGTACGCGTATGCGCTCATCCAGTGGCGGCTCGCGACTATTTCAAGTGAGGAGGCTAAAAAATAATGAATTACGGTAAGGTAAACACTGTGCAGCAGGAAAAACTTGTTTTGGGGTGCTTGGTCATTGGGTTAGCCGCTTTCCGAAATTATGGTCGCTGAACGCCAGTAGTAGTTCGACATGTTTTCAACATTTCTATTGGACGCTCAGATCCGCGGTCCATTTGAATGCTAAATTTCAGTGAAGCATGTCTAACATCCAGTGGACCTCTAATGTCAGAATAATTGCAGGACAGGGATTCTGACAAAGTGGCCTCATGTCGAGTACCCACAATTTTTTTCTGGTCAGAATAGAAATTTCCAGTAGTAATATAACTAGTGCATGAAATATTTCCGGAAATTTTTGAAAATTTTGTCTGAAGCCAATTTTTTAACAAAATCATGAGTGCATAGCGCCTATGCACGAATGGTTTTGTTCAAAAAAATTGGCTGGAGACGAAATTTTTTAAAATTTCCCTTAGGAAATATTTTATGCACGTGTTATATTTTGATAGGAAATATCCCGAGTTTGAAGTTTATTTACTACGTTGTGTCAAATTTTTTTATTGATGCTGATTGCTATTGATCTTTCCCATTTAAATTGCGTTTGATAAAAATATACAGTTTGACAGATTTCTGACATCAATGCATTTTGAATGGAAAAGCGGGCATCAATGTCAAAAATCACAATTCTGGAAATTTTTCCCGGGATATTTCCAAAAATTTTCACTTATTAATTTTGACAATTTGTATGCAAAATTTCCAGTGTAATTTGCACAAGTGAAATTTCCTTTTTAATTTTTTTCCGGTCTTATTTTTTCAAAAAAAAAAATCTATTCAAGGCGCAAACATGAGATTTTGAGGAAATATTTTTGAGGCACAACATACCGAAAATTCAAGTCGATTGAACCAAAAATAACAAAATGTCTAAAAATTGACATTTTTTCCTATAAGGCTGAATATAACATATTATGTCTTTACACTATTCCAAAGTTCACTAAACTGTGTTTTGAAATGAAAGCTCTGTTTGGGGTAAATGATAATTATTATTGATAAATCAACTAATCAAATGGAAGACACTCTACTGGAAACCAGAAAAAAGTTTGATAAAGAGCTATGTTTTACAACGGTAAAAACAGTATCGATGTCAATACTTTTTTCCATTTGAGGGTATGTAGAGGCGATTCCCTATGAAAAATTCAATTTAACCCAAATTAAAATTCCTATTGTTTTGCATATTCAATGGAAGTCCAATGATGAAATTCAAGATTGACAGCTGTTGGAAATAGCTCACCTTAAAAGCGACTAATAAATTTTGATTGAACATTAGTGTCACATTTGACAAATAACAATTATTTTTCAGGCTCATTAGACATTACATTATCAAATTCAAGTTTGACAGCTGTCAAAAATTGCCTAATTTAAAAGTGACGTCTTTTTTTCAAAATGGCAAATGGTCGAGTTGAACTTTACTGGTACTTGATCAATGCGTACCTGTCAAAAACGTACCTTTTAGCAGATTTCTGACAGTAATGTATTCCAAATAGGAATGTTTAAGTACCAATAATATAGGTATTTCAAGTGTCAAATCAGTAGAATTTGAGAGATGTCAATTATTTTAGAGACTCATATTAAATATCCAACTATAAAATTCAACTTTGACAGCTGACGAAAATAAGCTCAACTCTGGTAGTTCCACACAAAAAAGATTGATTCACAAAATAATTTGTTTACTGACAGAAAGCCCATACCATTTACCAACCATCCAAAATCAGTCAAAAGTAAGGAAATCAGATCATCTCTGGAACATAGCACCAACATCAACAAAATAATATTTATTGTTTTCCCTACTAGGAGTAGAATTTCCAGAGACAAGCGGTTTTAGTCAGAATTACAGACAAGTCATTCCTCTTTGAAAGGTTGCGGAGGCATTTGTGAGCCCAAATGGCATTATTTGATCAGGCGAAAATGGAGTAGACTCTCCAGAGACAAACGGTTTTAGTCAGAATTACAGACACGGCATTCCTCTTTGAAAAGTTGCGGGGGCATTTGTGAGCCCAAATGACATGATTTGATCAGGAGAAGGAGTGGAATCTCAGGTTCATCGCAGATTCCTCTACAAGAGTATCGATCATAGCAACGTAGAGCGGGAACAATTTTTTTTTTTCTGGTCAAAATCGACATTTCCTTTTTCATTTTTTTTCGGCCTTAAGATGTGCCGTAGCAAGAAGGATCAAAATAACTTTTCGACGTATTTTTTGCTCCTCTATCCGATAGATTTTTTTTTTTTTGAAATTCAAAATTTGATTTTTTCCAAACGAAAAAGTAACGTCGTGTCAGATCGCCGAAATTTTTATCTGGCCAAAATCGAAATACCCTTTTTTCATTTTTTCCCGGCCTTAAAGCAAGCCGGGTCCCATAAGGTTTTCAACGTTTTTTTTTGCTCTTCTATCCAATGGTATTTTTGTTTTTTGGAAATTCGAAAAAAAATCAAAATCAAGAAAGATGGGAAGGCTAACTTTTTTCCGGTACATCGGAGAGAACTGAAACTCGGAATATCGACTAAAAATCACATTTTGAATATTCCCGATTTTTGATTGGCTCCAAATTATCCGCTGACCAATAGAATTATAGACTGGGCCCCGTGATAGAAATAACTTTAGCCCTTCGGGGTCGTGTATAACTCCGGCCCTTCGGGCTCGCGTATAATTCCGGCCCTTCGGGCTCGCGTATAACTCCGGCCCTTCGGGCTCGCCTATAACTCCGGGCCTTCGGGCTCGCGTATAACTCCGGCCCTTCGGGCTCGCGTATAACTCCGGCCCTTCGGGCCGGAGCTCCATTCGGGCTCGTATTACTGAGTATCCCAGATTCACAGATTTTTGTCGTGGAGGCGCGGGATTCATTGAAATAATGTTGTCAGATTTTTCTAAATTACATTGAAATATCGAAATTTGGAAAGTGTAATTTGTGAATTATTATTTTAATTGGGAAAAAACTGAAATTAGAATTTTCAATTTTTTGATAGAGGCTTAGCCTCCCCTGCCTCCTCTGACGAGCCGCCACTGCGCTCATCTGTATCCAATTACCCTGTGTCATTTACATCATCTTGATCTCCATCGTTGGATTCAGAAAGATCATACAATTCCGTCCTTTTCGAGTCAGGCCATTCTCTTGCAAAATCCTTTAATTTTTTCCGCAAAATAGCCCCGTCATCATTTACCTGATTTATTCAAAGCATAGTCTAGAACTAGTTCAGAAAAATTGTTTGGATCCAAACATGAAAAATCAGCACAAATATCTCTATGCTTAGAATAAGATGTCTCTATTTTTGTTATTCATGGTTACATCGTGTAAAGTTTGTTTTGCCAGGGTTTGTACTTACCACCAGCATTTGCCTTCCTTGTTTAACAAATAAAAATTGACTGAAACAAATCAATGACGTCAAAAATGTTCGTCGGTTCTTGAACTAAAAGTCATTCATTTTAGTTTGTCAAAAAAATTGAATGTGTCATAGGAATTAATCTACGACAACCCTTTTTTTTTCAAGTTTCAAGGTCAAGTATGAACCCTGGTGAAACGGACCTTACTTCCACCTCGAGTTTAATAAAAAGTGACAGTAGTCAGACACATTGTCATGGTTATAGAAACGTTTTAAGTTCTTCAATTTAATAAAGCAAGTCCTGTTCACTAAACCTATATTATTATTATTATCCCTTCATCTTGAAGACACAAACACAACATGGTGTCAGTTGTCTAAGTGCTGAAAGTGTCCAAGAATAGGAAGGAATAACATAGACAGTGGAGAGTATTCGCAGTATCGCTGAAGAGTTAAAACATTCATACCCAGTATGTCTCGAGCTTCTAGACCCAACAGAAACCCTACGTCTAGGTCAAAATTTAATGGAAATAGTTTGTCATCATTATCACTAGAGGGTAATTTATCCAGTAACTGGGTAAGTTGGCTGCAACATTCTAAGATTTATATAAGAGCAAGTGGTCTAGAAAACGAAGATGATAGCAGAAAGGTTGCTATATTTTTGCACTACATTTGACCTGAGGCTCCCTCTATTTTCAATTCTTTCAATCTAAATATGGACACATGTGCATATAAGGATTTAGTTGATCGGTTTGAAGCACATTGCAAACCAAAAACAAACCTAACAGTTGAAAGACACAATTTTTTAACAAGACGTCAGAAGCCTGATGAGTCAATCGACGAATTTGTGACAGCAATCAAAAACCTGAGCTTCAAATGTGAACTAGATAAACTGCGAGAAAGCCTTGTCAGGGATATGTTTGTTGTTGGTTTAGGTGCCAATAATCGAATAGTTAAGGAAAGACTTTTACAAGAAGATAATCTAGATTTAGACAGGGCCATTAAAATTGCCAAAAGCATTGAAATCACTCATATTCAAGCCCAACAATTAGAAAAGGATTCAGAAGTCATTGTCTACAAAATTCACAAACAGAAAGGTCCTGGGCCGGTATTCTCGTTATCGAAAACGCTCACCGCTTTCAAGTCGTTCGGCACTTCTAATGTAAATTCACATCAAAAGTGCCAAGCGACTAAAAAGCGGTGAGCGTTTTCGAGAACGAAAATACCGGCCCTGGCCAGTCTTCAACGAGTCAGCAAAGAAATACGTCTATGGATTACATCAAAGTCCAGGACATGGATATGTTCAAAATCATAATGAAGAGTCGTACCAAAACCAATGGGTCAGAGGTAACAATTACTCATCACAGTCATCACAACAGGTGAGTCAAAGTTCATGTAAAAAGTGTGGTCAAATTCACAGACATAAATGTCTAGCACAAGATGCTATATGCAATAATTGTCAGCGTAAAGAACATTTTGCCAAGTATTGTTTCAAGAAAAATATAAGATATATTTTTTTTTTTTTTTTTTTTTTTTTTTTTTTTTTTTTTTTTTTTTTTTTTTTTTGGCTTTGAGCATAGCTCACTTAGCCACGAAAACATAATTCAAAAGTTCAAACTTTAGCTAACCATTCACCCAACGATATACAGATAAAAAAAAAAAAGGAAGGAATCTAGCAAAAAGGATAAACACATGGACACACGCTTCTCGTCCTGGGGTCTATGCAGGACATTTTTAAACTTTAACAAAACACAGGTGGACCCGGTTAGGAAGGATGTAACATATGGAAAAAAAACATAGGAATCGAAACAATCTCTAATTATCTTTCAAATAAGGACTTTACATAATTTTAAGTAATTAATAAATATATTTTCCAAGTTATCATCTGATAAAATAAGCTTAATTAAACCCTTGTGGTTCATAGGTATGAGATGGAGTTTTTCCAATTCTCTTCTTAAGAATGAAGTTGCCAATTCATTGTGTCTACAACTAAATAATCTATGATTCAAATCATCTTCAGATTGGTTATCACAAAAGCATCGCGTGTTCTCGCATAACTTAAGCTTATACATGTGTTTATTAAAATTTCCATGCCCAACTAAAAATCTGAAATAGGAAACAAACACATTTCTGGAGAATTTAAAACGTTCCATTAGTGGCTTTTTATTCAATCTAGGATAAAAGGAGTTATACAAATTAGGGGAGTTAACTGCCATTGCAATATAATTACTGCGCCAAACTTCCCAAGATCTTTTTTTGATTATTTCGAAAAAGTCCGAATATGGAGTAATTTCCAGGATCTCTTCTGATACGATCGCCTCTCTTGCTGCATTGTCAACCAATTCGTTGCCTTTGAGACCTGTATGTCCCTTAACCCATACAAACTTGACAGAAATATTTTTAGAGCACAAAACAGAGAATACCTCCAATACTTTGGCTATAATAAGATTCTTACAATTCATCGCATTTTTGAGAGACTTCAAAACTGACTGAGAATCAGAGAGAACAATAGCTTTGAAAATATTTCCCTTTGACAATATATGATCTAATGCTTTCAATATTGCTAGTGCTTCGGCAGTGAAGATAGATGCATTATTTTCACATTTGTATTTTTTAACATAATTCAATTCAGGTATAGCAATTGCACATCCTACTCCTGAACTATTTTTAGCCCCATCGGTATATATTTGAAGATAATTTTCATTCTTGCTTAAGACTTCCCTTAAATGGATAGAATTTACTGAGGGCAACTCCGAAAAATTCGGAAATAGAATTTCAGGTGTGAGATATATCAAATCAGATGGAAAATGAAATAGTATATATTTGTCTTGTTTTGTTATAATGTTATGAAATTCTGATGTATTTACAAATGCATCCGCTAAAACAGGACTTTTCTTATTTCTCCAGTATGACTGAGTTAGATTAGAAATATTCAAGATAGAAATTTTATTAAGCAACGAGTTATGTACGTATTGAACATTTTTAAGAATAAATTTTTCTGCTAGAATTTTTCGTCTTATTTCTAATGGAACTTCATTACATTCAGAAAGTAGAGCCTGGATTGGGGTAGAGCTAAAAGCACCTGTTACAAGTCTTAGAGCTTTGTATTGCAGCCTATCGACTTTAACAAGTCGGGATTTGCAAGCAGAACCATAAAACATAGCGCCAATATCCAAAATTGATCTTGTAAACGCTTTATATAACATTAAGCAAACTTGGGGATCGGATCCCCATGACCTAGATATTACTGCTCTCATAATATTAAGACTTTTTTCGGCCTTCTCAGTTATATAGGTAATATGTTCTTTCCAAGCCAATTTTTGATCCAACAAAACTCCCAAATACTTAAATGTTTCAACCCATGGGATAACACAGTTGTTAAGTGTAATTGTTGATGTTTTCTGTAAACGATGCCTAGTAAAAACCATCATTGCTGATTTTTTATTTGAAATATTGAAGCCATTGCTGAGAAAATATTGATTGCAAACATACATAATATGTTTTAGGTTGGTTAAGCATGCATGCATGCTTTTTTGCTTGGTATAGATACAAAAATCATCAGCGTATTGTAACTGAGAAGCATTTAACCCCATTGAATGAAAATCCGTTGTGTACATATTAAAAAGTAATGGGCTTAATACTGAACCTTGGGGGATGCCAGATGAGACAATTCAGGTTTCGCTAGTATCATTACCTATTCTAATGGATACGCCTCGATTGATATATAATCTCACTATATTATTAGCATTTGCTCTAGGCACATCAAATTGTACTAGTTTATCTATAAGGATTTCAAGATTGACATTTTCATATGCACTGGATATATCCAAAAATATAGCCGCCAAATAATCATTATCAGAAAATGTGTTCTGTACATCAGTAACTAAATGTGCCAGACAATCATTTACGCCGCTACCTCGCCTAAATCCGAACTGATGGGAAGGAAGTAGTTTTTTAGATTCGCACCACCACTCTAAACGATATTTGATTATTCTTTCCAGAGTTTTTAACATACATGATGTGAGCGAAATTGGCCTAAACTCGTCAGTTTTACCTGGTTTGCATATTGGTACCACCAGTGCATTTTTGATTTTCGAAATATCATCACCTCTACACATAATTTTATTGAATGCGTCTATTAACAACTGCATAGCAGGGAGGGGTAAATGCTCTAACATACTATAAGTGATTCCGTCCGTACCTGGGCTAGTGTCTTTATGTTTTCTGACATTATTGATGAATTCTGATATAGAAATAGGTCGTGATAAAAAATGATCGCTTGACGCATTCATTGGTGGAATATCGCGTGACACAAAATCAGGTGCTATTTTATTCAACAAAATATTGACTGATTCCTGGGAAATTGTGTTGTTTATATGTGTATTTAAACCACCCTTTATCAAATTAACTCTATTCCAAATTTTGGAAGGAGGGCTCTGGGCGTTCAAACTACTACAAAAATTAGCCCAACTTTGTTTGGATTTTCTTTTATAGGTAAGCTTACACTTATCTGTTAAATTATTACACTGAATGTAGTTTTGGAGATTGGAATTATTACGAAATTTTTTAAACATTTCTTTCCGACTGTTGGATAAAATTTGGCATTCCTCGTCCCACCATGGTACAAAGGGTTTTTCATTTTGAAAAACTCTTTTAGGAAAAAGTTGGTCGGCAGTTTCACCAATAACATTGATTAATATTGAAATAATTTCATTTGCCTTGTCCGGTACTTCCCTAAGGTTACTAATTTTGTCCTCTATGCATTGACCAAAGGAAACCCAGTTGGCATTTTTGAGTTTCCACCCAACTATATTATGTGACGGCGCAAGATTACTTTTATTATTCAATGTCAATTTAACAGGGAAATGATCTGAGCCATAGGAATCTTGTAAAACTTCCCAAGACGAGATATTACTGATGTTTGATGAAATAATAGTTATGTCTAAAGCGGAACTACTTGTGGCTCCTATTCTGGTATGCTCCCCTTCATTCCTTATTAGTAAATTGGGAAAATT